ATACATGTATTTGTGAGTTGATGCTAAAAAAATAATGAATTTTTGTAGAGATTTATACCATAGATAGCATATATATATATAAGTAATTGTAATATTTTGATTAGTTAGTTTAATTGATATATTTTTTTAAAACATTCATTGTTTGACATCAAAGATTTTATGAATATCTCCCGATTAATATAAAGGATTATAAGAAAAGTGATTAAAAAGTTTGAGCCCATAAGGCATAAACAGTGATACAAGATTTAGACTTATTATGGTAAAGATAAGTTCAAAAACAAGTGTAATTAAGATTAGCAAAGTTTCTTGGGCACGTGGCATCGTATGGTCATACACTGAAAACGTCTGGAAAAACTCCACAGCCGTTGACCTACAATTAGTTATAAGTTGTCCGACGAAATCCAACAGCACTATACTTCTTTCAGTCAGAGAAACTTTATTCCTCCTATGACATATTATATAAATTTAATTGATCATATCAAAGATTGATTGGGAAGTTTTGCTTTACGAATTTTGCATATTATTTCGAATTGTGATTTCCACGTATACATTTTGAAGAATTTGAGATTTCAAAGTCGTAAAGTAATCACATATGAATCTTATTAGTCGGACAAGGGTAAAGACAAACACATCTTCCATAAGCACCGTCACGGTCACAGTAGCCATGTGCATGTATTCCAAATCTAACCATGCATGCCCCATTGCAGTCAGGGATGTAACGACATGTACCAAGAACATCCATGCATCCCATATTCTGTTCAACTATATAAACAAAACCGTATTTTGTATTTAAATAACAAAAAATTATTAGTATTTAGAAGAAGTCAATATATCGAACTACAATAGCATCAAAATGAACTACTTTTATATTCAAAACATAAAATACATGTATACCTAAGGTGTTTGGCCAAAAGAAAAAAAATGTATACCTAAGACAAACATAACAAGGAAGATGATGGGGAGAACAAGTGAAGAAGATGCCTTGGCCATATATTTTTATTTTTTGCTTCTTTCTCTTAAAAGTAGTTGCTAGTATATTTGTATATTGGTACAGATCTAAAAAACTGGGAGATTAATCAATCGAGATTTAAAGATTGATAAGGTGACCAAGTTTAGAAATATAATTATGTACCATTATATGTTTGAACAAAATTATTTGACTGTAATCTTTTTTTCAAACAATTATGAGAAATTCCCATTTTATTTTATTTTTTAATTAAAATAGGCCTTATCTTCTAAAGTTAAAGATATACACCAAGTCTGACAGCATTACATTAAGCTACATAATTATTTACTTTTTTTTTTGGTCACAAGCTACATAATTATTTACTTAAGGATGAAAAAACAAATATCATAATTATCCGTTTATCTGTGGGTATCTAACTATTTATCCTTAACATACAAATATTTAACAAGACTTTACCAACTGCTGATACCAACATGTATGTACTTAATACTTTTTGTTATAAACTTACACGTTTTTGTAAGTTGTATTAACAACTAAAAATGCATATAACGTGAATCATTTTTAAGTGTTCGGTAAAAAATTTCTGTAGATTTATTCTTAAATGCTTATTTTTTGGTAAAAATGCTTATCTTTAATGGAGAATATCACAATATCATATTTTTCTTAAAATACAGTTATATGATTTTTAAATGCTTATTTTTTAATTGTAAATCAATCAATTTGGTCACCCCTTTTTGTCAATTGTCAACATGTTTTATTGTTAGTAGTGAATTTTTTAATTTTATTTATGAAAAATGTAAAGAATACAAATGTTTGACTGCTTGTTATGAAATCGGAACACAAAAATATCAGATTCATGTATCTAATAATCTTTCTATCTATTTTTTTCTTTTGAATTAAAATAAACAGAATATTAGAAAATAAGTCAACAAAAAATATAAACATATTATCGCACACAAAATCAAGTAAGAATCTTCAAAGTTCCAAATGGAATCATGTATAATTGGTATAACACCGCCATGATGGATCATGTTTGATTAATAGCATTAGAATTAAGATGTTGGATGTATTGATAACCCTCCTCCTATACCTTGTTATCTCGCACAAGTATCTTTCATTTGTATTATATATAATTAACTATAACTAAATATGGTGATGCTAAGTGGCGTTACTAAAAGAGTAATAACGTGGATGTTATTGTGTTGGTTCACAAAATTATAAAAGGCTAAGAACCTATAAATTTTGATATAAGAGAAAAAATGTGAAGAAATTTCAAAAAATGTCACTTTTTAAGTGCCATTTTACAAAAATGCCATACTTTTGAAATCTTTACAAAAATGCTATTTTTTCAAAATTATTTTTTTTATATTATTTATGTTTGGGTTAATTATGTTCTATTAGGTTTTAGTTTAGAGTGTTTAGGGGGTTTAGGTGTCAAAA